ACATCGCAGCGCAGCAACCGAGCAGTACTATCAGAATCATAAAAAACAAGCCACCATCTATCTCAACAATGTCTTTCAATATGCGAGCTATATTGATCTCCGAGTTTGGTCCCGTTGACAACCTCGTCATCAAAGACATCCCCAAACCATCAGCAACAGTCCCCGGTACAGCCCTCATTCGCATCAAAGCCTTTGGCATCAACCACGCAGAAATGCACATGCGTCGCGGGGAATGGGCCGAGTCAGTCCCCATTAGTGGTATAGAATGCGTCGGGAGCATTGAAGAATGTCCAGGAGGAGAATTCCCTCCAGGGACACCAGTTGCAGCGCTCATGGGCGGCCTGGGTCGGACCATACCCGGGAGTTACGCAGAGTACACTGTCGCAAATACAAGCAACATGGTAGCTTTGGGCAATCCTGGAGAACGACTGCCGCTGTCTTGGGCAGACGTGGCTGCGCTGCCTGAAAGTTATGCCACGGCTTGGACATGTCTGTTTCGGAACCTGGATCTCCAGCGCGGACAGAGGATTCTCATTAGAGGTGCGACTTCGTCTCTTGGAAGAGCGGCCATCAGCCTTGCTATTGATTCAGGTGCTATTGTCACTGCGACAAGTCGTAGCGAGGCTAAGTTTGCTGCATTGCGCGACCTCGGGGTTGCCGACACAGTCCTCGAAACGGCCGACTTGAGTAAATGCCTCCTTGGGATCCACGACTTCAAAAAGTTCGATTCTGCATTGGACCTAGTGGGTAATAGCACAATTGTCGACTCACTACAACTAGTCCGTCGCGATGGCCACGTCTGTCTGGCAGGATGGCTCGGAGGTCTAGATCCCATCAAGGGACCGGCCGGGCCTGATCAGTCGCGGGGTTTCAATCCGCTGCTACAAATGGCAAGCGGAGTTCACCTGAGCTTTTTTGGGAGTTTTGTTTTTGGCACAGAAGAGTTCCCACTGTCTGACGTCCCGTTAAGGAGTATCATGCTCAAGGTGGCGGAGGGGAAGATCGATGCGAAGCCTTGGAGGGTGTTTGGCTTTGAGGACATACATGCTGCTCATCGGGCTATGGAGAATGGAGAACCAGATGGGAAAATGGTTGTTACTGTTGATTAGTCTCAAGGAAAGGAGATGTCTATAGCCGCAGTAGTCTCACTTATGGAGGGTAATGGGCCAAAGGTATACAGTATTTTTATGCGTTTCTTTGAAGGAAATCAATTTCTGTTGCAGATAGCAAAGATCTGAGATACTTCAGAAGATAAAACAACGACATTTAAGTTTTAGAGGCTGGATATTCACCTTTTCTCGTCCACTTGGCACATGGCCCTGAATCTCAACAAAGAATAGAATTTGTCAAGCGACCTGGTCAAAGGAGGACAAGCGTATCTGAATACTTGCACTTTTAATATATTGCCCCGAAGAAAACAAGATTAAGGCGGACAAACATAAGGGGCTGGGCGTGCAGCACTTAGAGGTTACATATATACAGAGAAATGGAAAAGTGGAGTCAATAGAGTATAGAAATTTAAGCCAACAAATCCAATTACATGATTTCGCAAGGCATATCCTAAAGCAGTAGTCATAGATGGTGTCCATGTGGAGCGAGGGGTCAGCCAGGGGGAATGGGGACATTGAATGAACAAGATAAAGTGGACCAGCATGATGTTTCACCCATTTAGAACACGAAGACTTCTGCTTCTACTTGTAGTGTATTCGAGCATCTATCTCACCGAGAGTCTATAATCTATGTTTCACATAAAGATTATTATATAAAGGGGCAGGCAAGACTGATTCAAGTTCATTTAAAGACCTGTAGGTACCCGGTATCCACAGGGCCTTTAGTAGTGTTGTCCCTTGTACCCGAATTGCCTCAGCGCTAACTTTACCCCGTAAGCTAGCTTCTCCTGCAATTGAATCTCCGGATGACTGTTCCTGAGAATTTCACGGGACTATGGCAGGCTTTGTATTGGTGTGTTGGTCAATTGATGGAAGCTTCAATTGCAAGAACGACTAGCGACGAGAGTCGCCACTTTGAACCCTTTGAGATGTTCATGCGGCAATCACTGTTTGTTGAACTGAACACACTTTCTGTGCAGTATTACGAACGACTCCCAAACCCTGTTCACTGCAAGAAGAGTAGCGAATAAGTACGGGAGTAATAGCTGGACAGTGATTGAAGTTTCCTCTGTTTTCTCCTTTTTATACTTCATGAACAACTGAACGAGTTCAAACACTCAACACCCAACATCCATTGTTCTCTGCCAGCAGAATTGTGGCGAGATGAAGCAACATGTTAAGACTGTTGAAGCTAAAGGCTCCGAAGAGCCTTCATTCATAGGGGCATTGTCGAAGGTAGACAGTGCCGAGAAGGAATTGCAAGATGCAATAGAGCGCTTGAAAGATACAACGGAGAGGAACGAGCGAATTGAACAAGAGCTTGAAGTTCTTTCTAAGTCAGCGGATCAGTATGTCACAGAACTTAGAAGCCATGTTCAGTATGCAGACTACTATCAGCTAAGGCTCACCATGATGGAGTGCAAATTGGATGTGACTGAACTTACATGCGGCTTTGAGGATTTCGTGGAAAAGCTGCGATTGAGAAAGGAAGCTGGAAAGGGATGCCATTTGGAGGACTCGAGGCATGAAGAAGAGGAACTGAGATGGAAGAAGAAGTTGGAAAAGGCGGAGCAGGAGTTGCAAGAGGGAAAGGTGGTGAAGCGAGGACAAAACGCAAGATCAGGTCTGTGGATGTGGCGAAAAGAATAAGAACTGTCAAGAAAATAGTGCCGTTTTAACTTACATGTACTGCTCAGAATAAAGGCATATGATTTCAGGATTTCCAAAGCCACTCATCATAGATCTGGCTCACAACAAACTTCTCCGCCAGCCCATGTCGAGCAGAATCCCTAACAAATATCTATAGAAGATCTCTTGTCTAGAGATAGGCTTTACCCTCCTCCTATTTCCTACAAATTCTTGAAGACTCCAGATATTAAGACTGTCCGGTTCAGGAATGAGGTCGCTCTTAAGTGGGGATATAATCTTCAACCGCAGTCGATGGCAAGCACTTGGACCAAGAAAAAAAGAAACTCTAGACGGAATCTAGCAACGTCGTCCTCAAGGTGAAGATAAACAGTGGTTCCAGTCAGATGTTGAGCCCAGAGACCACCCTTATCAAGTGTGAAATCCATGGCTTCCCTTTCGATACTATTAAAGATGTGCAGTTCCCCCCTCTGGAGATGGATCGGATGTTGTTGATCCTTGATCGCGACCTCGATACTCGAGAGATTCGGAAGAATCGGCTTTGGCGGCACTCTCCCTATCCAGTCCAAGCTCAGGTTCTCTTGCAGTCACTGGTACAGTTATCCCTGATGGGCCTTCCCTTACCCAGGGCGGGAGCTCCTTGCCTTTGCACGTGAACCCTAGCACACCTCCACTCAGAAGGTCTCCCCGTGGTTCAAGGCCTTCCTCTACACCTGGGTCTTCAACAGCGTCTACATCTACTAGCTGTAGCTCTGGGTCATCGTCTTCCACAGTTGATTCTAGCCCCAACACTTCGGGGTTGTTGGAATCTCCCGCCACCCCCAGCCGCGGTTCATCCGATCAGGTGCCTGAACATGATAGCAGCCTCGCAGCGGGGACGTCCCAGGGATCGCTTCAGATTGCCCCACGACCACTTATTACAGATGACGATGAGATAGCAGACCAGCTGGAGCGGGATGCGTCTCAAGCTACAAATCAGCAATCAAGTGAAGGTCTGATTAGTTCTGCTGAGGTAGTTGGGACGGCCAGTGAAGCGCAGGGTCTCGTCACATGTGCGCCTGTCTCTACTGCTTCTCCTACCGACCAAGAGCTGCTTGAGAATGAGATCGGGCCCGAGTCTGAGGGGGAGGAGGAGGAGGGGGCTGGATCTGATGATGAATACCTCCCCGGGCGGAAGCCGAAGGCTCGGTCAAAGCGGAAGTCCAAGACTGGTTCAAGATGGAAAGGCAAGGGGGTTGCAAGAGAAGCACCAGACACCGGTCCCAAACAAACGAAGCTGGATCGGTATTTCTCCTAGTTATGAAGATCTGTCTGTGTCTTGAAGAGGAGAAGCACGGTAAACTGTCTGGTAGATGTTATATGAAGCTATTCCGGTTGTCAGCATCGTCGTTGTTCGTACGGCTAGCATCGCCGGTTTACTCTTCTGCCTTCAATAAGATCGCATGGCTTTGTAGCTCAGATGAAGAGCTTCAAGCCATTATAGAACCCAGATGAAGGGTGTATCCTGCAGATGAAGCAGTGGCAGAATCGTAGAGTTACGCTTTTGGCTGTCATCCTAGTTATAACCTCAATACACTTGCAATGCCCTCATCACCAATGCTTCACGGCACCCTTAAGGCAATGCCATCGTGATGTTGAGATTCCAGAGTCATGTTCTGGCATGAAATCAAGAGGAGGTTATGCTGGAGGTTGCGTATCGCGTCGATGGTGATGGATCAGATGCCGGCTCACGGACACTTAGTGATATCATGATTATGCACGTTTGCGAGATTTTCACGCCCTTGCGCCTGCTATCGACGCCGGAGATTGATACAAAGTGCTCATGTGGTCACTCAGAGGGGGCGAGAACGTTCCGTGCGAGCCGGTGAAGACCAATGAAGTCGGTGGTCGTGGACGCCATAATGATCGCTGGAAGAGGGGTCGAAGCCACAAAGTCGGGTGCATTCCTTTCCGACTTAGCGCAGAGCGATACAGATCAAACATAAAAGGCCCTCCAATTCCCTCCCATTATTCTTCTTCACCATCACATTACACTACCACTTCTACCTTTACTCTTTGCAACCAATTCTTGCCCATTCAGCACTCCTCTACTATCCACTACCAAATTCTTTTACCTCTATCCAACCTTAGCTAAACATGAAATAGTTGCCGGATCGACTGTACAGCT